AGTGGAGGGGGTTGCCTGTGGTGGGAAGAGCGAGCCATGCCAGTGTTGGGTTTCTCCAGAGGTCTGTTAGCAGCCCAAGTCAGACTACATCTTCCAGTGCTACCTCCTCCTAGGAAGTCCTAGGAGTGAGGGTGTAGGGGTGGTGGGGTATCTTTCTGTCCCATAACCAGTACACACCTGTGTGCTGGGACATTGTTCTCAGCCAGATCTCCTACTGCATTTTGTGAGCAGGAGATAGGCTGAGGTAGGTGCAGTTCCCCCACAACCTCCTTCTGCTACTTTTGATGTCCCTTTTCAATGACTGCTTCTCCTGGATGAAGTATGAGATGAAGCTGTTTCATCATTGCAGTTGAAAGCAGATTTTAACCTTGTGTGAAACTAATTCGAAGAGAGACCTCTGACATGGGCAGGCAAAGGCCTGGTTTGGCTGCTGAAGCTGCTGATCTGTCTTCTCAAGTGCTTTCACCTCCCTGAGATTCAAGAGCTGTTCACAGATGCGTTAGGTTCAGGATTTTTGATCTGAATAGAGATCAGATCAGCAGTCTCCTTGCTGATGACACTTGCCCTGCTCTAAGCATGTCTCTCCACCCGCTCCAGCATCAGCTCACCAGGTTTAGGGCTCATGTGACGCTCCCACCACTGAGTGCTTTCCCTGTGCTGATGGGCTCCTGCCACTGCAGACCATGCAGGGCACTGGTCTGGGCTCGCCCTGTGCAGGGTCTCTGCACTAACGTGGTTGTGTTTGATGCCAACAGGGCCATCACAGCAGCAGGTCGCGGCGGGAGAGGACTCCAAATGACTGTGCCCAGCTGGCCTTGCACAGCCCGAGCCAACACCATGAGCGGTGAGCACGAACCCAGAGACATCTAGGGTGGGTGAGGATCAGCATCTCCGGTTGTCTGTGCTGTTTTGATGCTTGCTGGTGTCGGTCCCCTGAGGTGGAGGAGTATCCAGATTGGGGCAAGGAAAGGCCTGGCAAGCCCTACTCTTGCACAAGGGGAACATGGCTTCTGTGTCAGAGAGGTTTGTGCCAGGCAGTGTTGAAGGCAGCTGCTTTGGTCCCCAGGGTGATGAGCTGTCTGCTGAGATGCACATGGGAGAGCACCTCCCCTCTCGCAACAGGCTGGGAGCACTGTCAGTCCTTGCCTGGCCGTTGGGCCAAGAGGACCTCGCTGCCTGCCCTGGCTTGTCCCCGTCTCTCTAGCCCTGCCCATCTTCCTCTTGGTGCTTAGCAACATGCAACATGCTCTGGTGCTCCAGCACCAGCATGGCAGAGTGCGGGGACCTACGGACAGGTGACCACTGGTAAATGAGGCAGCAGGGCTTAACTGGGTTTCTACAAGGGTTGTTGAAACTTGCATTGTGTTGGAGACAGGACTAAGAGCACACTTGCTTTTCAACTCTTTGAGCGTAGCTCATGAGCAGTAGCATGGTGAAAGCGATCCTCTGCTCATGGTCTTGGGCTCTGGAGTCTCTCCAGTGGAGAAATTGTCTCTAACTTCATCCCAGAGCAGAGTCATCTGTCCCCCTAGAAGTCTAGAGTTGTTCTGGGTGGCAGGAGAGCTGCCTTCTGCAACCCCTGTGAGAGCAGCTAGTGAAGGTCTGGTTATCACGCAGCCATGGTTGGCTTTGGGGGAGTCGGGTGACTGCCCCTGAGCCTGGGGGCTGCTGGAGGGGGTCCTCCCACCTGGTGATGTGGGGGTCTGGGTGCTGATGGCATTGCCCAGAGATGCTTGGAGCTGCTGAAGGGATGAAGGGCACCACCAAATGCCAGGCTGTACCCGTGCTGTGCGAGGCCAGGAAATAACAGGCGTGACTCTGTGTGCACCCCAGGCCGGACATGTGCCCCCTGCCCCCGCGCCGTGCTCCGTTCCCCCTCTTCACGGAAACGGGCAGGATCTACTCCATGCAGAACATCTTCCAGACCATGTACCTCCTGGGCCAGGTGCTCTTCCACCGTGTCCAGCACTCTCTGCAAGACCCAGTGCTGGCCAGGTGACTTTGGTTTGTCTTGAACCACCTCCCTGTCATTCTGCAAGGACTTGCCTTTGCCTCGCTAAGGCATGAGCCAGGCATGAGCTCTGTAAACCACAGGCTGCACAGTGCAGGAGCAGGATGGTCCTGTGCGGCTGCCCCAGACTCTCCTTCTCACCTATCCTGTCTGCCAGCTCCGGGTGCCTGGCTCAGGAGCGCCCGGTACAGCTAGCTGGGGTGCACCCTGCTAACCCAGCCCAGCTTGTGTCTCCTGCTTAGCTTAACACCAGCCCTCTGGGCACCCCAAGTGATCGAATGCCGCCTGTGACATTGCTGGGATTTCAGCTGGGCTTCACTGCTAAGAAAGTGCTAATTCTTCTGCATGCCTTGATAGCTTGATGGAGAGGAATGTGTGAAGGGAATCAAAATCCAGAACAGAGCCTGACTCAGGTCCTGTTCCCAAGACACTGTCTCCTGTGGGCTCTCAGCACCCTTGGCTGTATCTTGGCCACTCTTAATTAACCTTTTCCATGAACTGGCTGCACCAAGTTACTCATCCCGTAGCTGATGCCTCTGGCCAGGGTACAGTATGTCTGCGTGCTCACTGGAACAGGTATGCAACGACCTCAGTCTCTCCATATGTGCTGGAGCAACTATCTCCACCACACTCTTATCTGTGCAAGTGCAGTAAATTTAACATGTTCAAAGACATCATTGCAGCCTTAAGGTGTCCCCACTGCTCTAAGGCTGCTGAGCACCTGGAGGAATGTCTAAATACTTCTAATTCTCCTTGAGCAGAGCCCCCAGGCAGAAAGGGAGGAGAGTGAGCATCCATCATCGGTACCATCAGTGGCACATCTTGCCTTCCCTCCCCAGCTGGTGCGGAGATGCAGGCAGCAGAGCTGGCTTCTGCCTGCAGATGATGCAAAGTGATGTCCCTGCTTTTAACCACAGTAGGCTGACTGTCTTCAAATGTTGCTTTTTTTTTTTTTTTTTTTTTTTAAAAGTCTGGACATGCCAACAGTTAGTGGCTATGTAAGACTTCCTTCTTCCTCCCATCAGCAGTAGAGGAGGTTTAGGCTGTGGTACCATGAAAGATGGTAGCTTGTGGAGTTGTTGTAACCCAGTGGGGTGAGTCCCAGGCCTCTCCCCTGGTCTCGATCTCCCTTTGAAGTCAGCCACCTTGAAATGTCTCTTCTTGGTACTTTGCATCACTTCAGATGCATGTGGTATCTCTCTGATATGATAACTTTGTACCCCTATGCAACCACAAAAATAAAGAAATGACTGAGCTGACTTGTTTGTCCTGACATTTTAGTAAAGAAAAATCTGGTCTTGGACACAGACTGGAACATTTGCCTGCTAGTGACCTCTTGAAGGGTATGAGTCATCGGAAGGTAATTTCTCATTTCTGCTCTAAAGGGTGTGTTCACCTGTATCAACTGGGATTTTTCAGTCAAAAGCTGCAGGATGTGTCCTTTTTTAATGCCTCTGTGCTAGGGGAAATTGGATTTTCTTTCTGTTGTGACTTTCATTTTACACTACAGCTACATTATGTGGAGGCATTATCTCACAAATGTATTTGCGGACAGAGATTCAGTGAATCTCCGCATGCTGTTCTGGCTTGTCTTCAGCGAAATCAACATCATGTTGCAAACAGGAATAAATATCCTCTCCTCCCCAAGGTCTCCAAAGGAGCGGCGTTAGACACTTATTAACCTGTACGGTATCAGTGAGTGCCCATGCGAGTTACTGGTGTGCGTAGCGGAATTTTGATTATAGAAGAACTGATGTAGGGCTAGCCTATGATGATAGGAACAACAGACCGAATGTGACAATTTTGATTTTTCTCACTGTGGATCTCCTTTTATTTTGTGGCTCAGTGCTGTCGATCCTGCAGCAAGGCTGTGTCTCCAGGGGATGCCCTGGAAATCCATGGTCTGTGTTGCCTCTGCCAGTGCAGCAGCTAATCCCAGTGGTGGCCCCTTTGTTTCCAGGGATGGAAGAAAGTGGTGCGTGCTTGGGTTGCTTGTTTATGTTTCAAGTTGCAGGTAAAATTTGCTGTAAGAGCAAAAGTGATACTTCTCTTGTTGGAGGTGGGAGAGGAAAGTGAGCATGTGGTATCTGGAGATACTGGAGAGGAACAAATCCTTGTCTAAGCAAACAGGACCCTTTTCTGCTGGTTGATGCACTTGCTCAGATAGTTCCCCCCAGTTGATGGCTGCTTCCCACCAGCAGGATCCTCACCTGCTGATGTAAATGAGATCATCCCTCCAATTTCGGCATTGGCCCTGTGATACGTATTTACCTGACTGGCTCCAAAGGTGATTTATCCAACCCTCAATGAACTCCTCTGACTATAGAGAATGGATGCTTGGTAAATATGTTTTCTCTCTGTTGGACCTCTAAAGAAATAGAAGCATGTGTTTTCCCTGTTGTCTGTCATGGCATATGCCGTATGTTTTGGTGTGATCACTATGGGTTGCATGCTGGAGGAATATAAATATGCATGATGGGGTTAAGAAGAGATGAGTAGGTGCTGTATCCTCTCTCCTCATGCTGCATCCAGACAGCACATCCTGGGCACGCACACGCTGCTGCATGGCTCGGCTCCCCGTGGCAGTGCCGCACGTGCGGGAAGGCAGTTGCACCTCCTGAGCAGTGTTTATCTGTCTGCATCTCTGTTTTTCTTCCCCAGCTCCCAGGAGGCTGGCCCAGCCCCAGAGAGCACCTTGGAGGAGGTCGGGGTGGCTGAGATGGCAGCAATGAGAAAGCAGGTGAGATGGGGTTGAAGGGCTGCAAATGTTTCCTGGGAAAGCCATAGGATGGTGGGTGAGGAGACTCCAGGGGACTGTTGCTCAGTCCTGATGGGCAGGCGTTGCCAAGCTAGTCCTGGCTGATGCTGCTAATGGAGAAGCAGAGGAGACTTACATGTGTGTTGACCCATCAAGCTCCTACCCTGAAGGGCTGTAGGGCTGCAGGAAACAGCAGACCCTTCCATCTGCTGGCAGCAAAGGACTCAGATGTTCTTCTGATGGGAATGACCCTTTCCTGAAGCATCTGCTCAGGAGCTGAGGTACTGCTGCTAATTCTCCCACACAAAGATAGCTGCTGCTCTGGAAAAGGAGAACCTGAAGGAGATGGCAGCACTCATCCCTCCATCCCTTGCTGTCCCGCGCCACTGGGGTGTAGCCAGTGACCTGCACTTTGCTGCAGGGCTGACGCTGGCCCCACTGCTTCCCTTGCAGTTGACGAGGATCTCGGGGAGGCTCCGTGTACTGGAGGAGCAGTGCAATACCTGGCGGCAGAAGGACACCCTGGTCTACTCCGTGCTGATCTCCGCCTGTCTCATCAACACGTGGCTCTGGCTGAGGAGATGATTTCCTATGCCCTGACCTCCCCTGCCCAACCCTGGCAGAGTGGGTGAGGGCGGGGAGGGGATCCTTGCTCGCGTACTTGCAAACAGTAAAACTACGTGTTTCTTCTTAACTTGACCTGCTTTTTGCACTGTAGGCCCTTGAGGATCTGTGTCCTGTACGCCCCGATTACAATGAAGGTGCCATCCCTCTCCCATAGTCTACCATCAGAGGTGGGTGAGGGAAACCATCAAGCTGGACCTTGTGCTGCAGCAGCTGGAGATAGGTGTCAGGGAAAGGTGGGGTACAAGGAGTTCCAGGGCTGGGCTGTGGCTGCAAATACTCTGTGTACACTAGCAACCACCTTGTATGTTTGATGAGGTCAGTGCTTGTGTGGGAAGCTGCTGTGAAAAGCCCAGGTCTCATAAGAAATTGATGGCTGATACAGGAGGTGTCTGTCCTGTGCAAAGCAATGCGAGACCCTCTGGCCCTTAGACTGTCTGCCAGAGGAGATGCAAAACCAAGGTGTTGGATGTTTGTGAACGTGGGGACCTGTTACAGGCTTAGACTGTGGTGAGCCCAGTCCCCTGACCATGTCCCAGCTTGGATAACTCAATTCTGACCCCATAAAAGTCCTCAGCCAACTGCTGTGGCCTGTTCCTCATCTTCCACCCCAAAAGCTTGTGTAGAGTCGTTCAGTGTTTTTAAGCTGCTGGTGGGTTTTCTTTTCTTCCTTGTGCAATTGCTCTTTGGTGGAGGTAGTACTGCCAGTTCTCCTGTGCCATAGCCCCTGCTCTAGGAGGTATGGGGCTGGAGGAGCCAGGAGCTCCCATCCCTGCAGCCACTGCTGTGCCACTGTCTTCTCGGCTTCCGTCCTACTGGAGCCAGTTCAGCAGCGAGTTTGCAAATGTTCAGATCCAAAGTGACTGTAAGAGCGTTGCTGAGATCTGGGCTTATCCAGGAGCTTGGCTCTTTCCCAAAGAGATTTAAATGGGAAACTTCCCCATGATGACTCTCTGGATTACAAGTCTTCATACCAACAGTGATAGCACCAGACAGGCCATGGAAAATTGCCCATTTGGGCAGCAGGAGATATTTGTTTGGTTGCCAATGCCAGAGGGCAGGATTGCTCCCAGGTCTGCTGCCAAGCTGTAAATTCAGCAATGGTGCAAGAACACAGGTGAAGGGAATTCTTGGCTCAGAGGATCTTTTTGGCTAAAAACAAGTCCAGTTAAACAGATTTGCCACTTCTTTCCTTCTGTGGAGTTTAGTAACACTTGACTTTGAGACGCTTTTGGTGGCTCATCCAGCACATCTGCTGGAGTTGTGCTTGCAGGATCTGGGGGCAGGTTTTCACATGGATTAACAGGATCTCTCTGTTCCACATATAAGTAATTGTAGCTGGATCTGCAGGTCATCCAGATGTCCCAATAACTTATTTACACACACGGATGCTTGGATGTTTTCTGCCTGCAGCTGCATTAAGCATCCGTGACTGTAAATCTGGCAGCTGGACATTGACTAATAAATAACTGTCCCACAAGTAATTGCAGGTCTGAACCTGTGTCTGATAGCTGAGCTGAGGAGAGCACTGAGATTTATTGCGGATGAGAGCCAGGATGGTGTGTGGGCTTGGCATGCCATGCCATGGCAGGGTGCATGTACGGGATGGGAGCAGTGGTACAGGAGTGGTTCCCATGGCTTGTGGTTCAGGGATGTGGTCAGATTTACCAGGGGACCTTGCACAACAGGTCTGTATAAGTGGGCTACCGCTGGGTGACTCATGCCAGGAAAGCAGGTAAATTGTTTGGCTGGTTTCTCTTCTCCGAGAGGTGCTGATGTGTTTTGGAGGAAGCTTGTGGTTTTGTGGTTTGTTTTTTTTTTTTAAAAGCTGTATTTTAGGGTAAGAAGGGCTGACCCTTTGGGGGGACGCACCACCTTCAAAGTGTTTATTGAAGATGTTTGGAGGACAGGTGATCAAACTGTATGTGTTCTCACAGGCTAATTATTGGCAGGTTGTCAGGGATACAATATGACTTTTACGTAAGGCATAAATCCTGGTGTAAATCTGCAAACACTGACCTATAAAATGCATATTTCAATAAACTGTGTGTTCTGGATGTGTTTCTTCTACCAACTGCGGAGTCTGATCCTGGTATCCCAGTGGATGGGAATGGGTAAGGTTTATTCCCTTGGCAGTAGGACTCTGACCTGGTGCTGGATGTCTCAGCCACACATACTTATTTAATTGCACCCTGGATTTCTGACATCTCTAGATGGCTGTTTGTCCCACTGGTGTAAAACACGCATGCCAGCCACCCTGGCAGGGGGAGATCTGGTTAATGCTATCCCTATTGGGGTGTGATGCCTTTATTTCCTTTCTCTCTTCCCTGCCTCCTCCTCCTCCTGGCTCTTCTGTGTCCCAGGGCAGCACATGTGTCAGGGCTGGGTGTCTCCTAGCGTCACTGCTGCAACGAGGTGCATGGAAAATAAAGTGTCTTGTGCAATATGATGCTCGAAGGAGCTGCGAGGGAGCAGCTCCTGGAGTTCCCATGTTGCTTTTGAAGGCAGCTGGAGGCAGGGAGCAAAAGGAGAGGTGATGCTCCTGGTCTGTGAACTGCCCCTGGTGCCAGGGTCCATGGCATGGGGATGAGAGCAGGGCGATGGGTCCTTTGCTGCTGGGTGCTTGCCTAGGAAGCACCCAATGCCGCCAGCAGCCCCGACCAAGGCTGCAAAAATTCGATTTCTTCCTTCGGGCTCCCTGCTGTCCAGGTTTTCAGTGAGATCAGAATAAGTGGAATTTAAGGCTTTGAAGAGGGGAAAAAAAAAAAAAGATAAACCTTCGATAGTGAAGGGACTTGTGGTGTTGGTGCTTTCACATCAGCTCTGCACATGGTGGAGGACTCCAAGTGCACGGCAGGGACTGATCCAGCCTCAGGCACTGCAAGCGGCTAGATGCTGAAGGAAGGGGCTAAAAATTAACCTCTTCCTCATTGCCTTGGGGATGCAAATTTTTTGATAACTGGTTATTAGAATGTGAACAAAATACGAGGGCAGAAACTGGTGAAAGATGCATTTCATGATCAACTTCAAACTCTGCAGCTCTCTTCGCTGTGACTCTAGAACAGCATATTTGGTCTCCTGTTCCCCAAGTATGAAAAGTGGTAACTGGATGGGAAGGTGTTAAAAAGTGGCTACTTCTGCAAATTTTTCATCATAGCAGTAGCTCTGGCATAGCTTGTGAAGCAGGGAAATAGCCACCAGCTTTGTTTTGCATCCCCTTGTGCAGGCAGGGCCGGAGCCCAGCTGGGGGTCTGCCAGGTGTGCCTGTCCCCGGGTGGGCAGTGACCCTTCCCCAAGGTTTGCTGGGGACTCGGGAGCTGCTGGACTCAGAGCTGGTCAGGATGGCTGCGATTTCCAGCTGGACTCTGCCCTGAGAGACGTCTAGGGTCCCTCCAGCCACCAAGGGGAGGAGGGGATGCGTGGGTAGGGAAATGGAGCATCCCTGAGCAACACGTTTCTCTCCTCCCCTTTCATCCCCTAGAGACAAAGCTGGCTGCTATTACCTCCTCTGAAGTGTGCCTTGCTGCTCAGGGTGTCGAGGATTCTCAGGGGATGGGTGTGCTGTAGTGACGAGACCCATGCACACGTGCATGTGCACCCTCCCCATGCACCGCGGAGTCCCCTCTGCCATTGCCAGGGTGCTGCCTGGCCACCTCGCCTGCTTCTCTGCTTGGGCAGGGGAGAAGGGCAGGAGTGCAGGCAGCTCCGCTTGTGCTGGCTTTGCTTTGCAGCTCAACACGTGTTTTAAAAGCCTGAGTGCTCCAGAGACAGACCAGGAGGGATGCTCCTCAGCCAGCCCTGCTAACCCGTGTTAGGCGGCAGCCAAGTGTTGAAGGCTTCGGGGGACACCAGGCTCGTAAGTGGACAGTGGTGACTTCTTGGCAGTGGCTCCACTGCCCTGGGGAGGTGGCTTGCCTGGGCGTGCGTGACTGTCCTGTGCGTACAGAATGGATGTAGTGTCCGTGTGTGTTGGTAGAGGTGTACAAAGCATTGCCTTCCCCCAGGCAAAGCCTTAGCTATGGGCTGCACTATGTGAGAGCATGAGTGTGTTGTCTCCAGGAACCTGCCTTATTCCTGATTGCAGGTATGGAGTGCGTACTGTGCCCCGGGGGGGAGCGAGCAGGGTGTCCAGGGTGGGAATACATTTTCTAGGTAGGGCTGGGCAATGCCTGTGTGCCTTTGCATCCATGCAAGTTTGTGTTTCTGTGAGGTGCTTTTGCATGGTGTGGTCTATACTAGGGTGCAGCAGAACAGTGAGGGCTGTGTGTGATGCTGGGGCTGGGCAAGCCCTGTGGGCATCTCTTGCTTTTTAGATAAACAAACCCTGGTGAAATCCTGCACTTAACAGCTCCTCAGCAACTTCCACATATTAATGTAGGGTCTTCTCTGCTGCTCTCTGGAACCAGATGGTAGCTCCTGCCAGCAGGAACCTCAGCAAGGCTCTTTTTAAATAGCAAACCTTAATTTCCAGTGCAGAGGAGATTTCTGCGGTGATGAGAGCCGGGGATTCCTGGGCAGACCCTTGCTGTTGCAGTCCCCTGGGGAAGGAGGGCAGTTGCTGAGGTGTAAACACTCTTGTATACGCAAAGTCTACCCTGTGCTGCTGTATGACAGCATCTCCCTGCCAGGGCTGGCCTTGTCCTTACATCCCTTACGAGGCTATTTTCTTATCCTTGGGCAGGCAGTGGTGCTGAGAGCAGTGAGCTCATTGTTAGGGCATGGCTCGCTGGGGATGCTGTTGCCCTGGCAATGGCTGAGGAGCCTGAAGGTGAGGACAGCATATTTCATGGGCCATGGGAGCATCTTTCATGGGCCACAGGCAGATGCGGGATCTCTTGGGGAGGGCAAAATGTTCCGCAGGACTCTTACTGCAGCATCAGCAATTGCTGGTGGTGGAAAACCATGGGGTGGGCACATCCCATGGTGTTTGACCCTCTCTTCCCATGCTGTGCTGTATCTCT